TTAATCTTGAATTTCAATGGGTCTATCGTAGTTTATAAATGAAAACTCGTCATGTTCGAGTTCTGGAACAGAATTACTAGATGCGTCTCTATTTTCGGCGATTGTTTAATTTACTCGCAATGTATATCATTTTTAAAATGTTTGTATCGTCATAAACAGTTAGAAAAAAAAATATAATACTGCCAAATAATAACTGCAAGACTAAGTAATTGAACGAAGAATTATCTGAAATACATTTTTGAAAATCCAGGTGTAACCTCTGATGATGGTGCATGCACAGCAGCGCAGAGGGCTAAAGTTTTAATTTTCAGCACTAGTGCTAAATGTGAGTCAGTGGTCAAGTGTTCATATCTCCTTGAACGCAACAAAGAAAACTAAAGATTTTCGTGTGACCACATCAGCTACTACTGACCTTAGTGTATAATTAAGTGATTTGTGTATTTAAAATAAAATGGGACAAGTAGATAAATTTGGGCAATGGGGACAAAATGGACGTCAGGACAAATCGAACAAGGGAAAACGGAACAAGGGGACAAAATGAGCCAAGGGGCAAACGAAAAAAGAGGACAAATGAGACATTGGGGACAAAATGTACGAAATGGGACAAAAAGACAAAGGTCAAGTGGGACAAAAGGGACATATTTATCCAAAGATTTATGTACTGGTAAAATATGAAGCCGAGAGTCCGCTAAAATATTTTTAATGGACTCCAACATTTTAACGGCCGTTGCCATGGACGTGCTCTTAGAGCGTTGCTTAGATGGTTGGTTGCTAAGGAACTACGCGTGGGTTTACTGACGTAAATATCAAACATAGTTTAATGGAAAACTACTATCAGTGAAATACTCTGAATATCATTCACCCAAGCTTGTGATTAGAAGTAAAACCGCTTATTGACTGTCTTGATCGTCAACTGCTGTAAACTACATGGCAAGGAAAATATTTTTTTTTAATATATTTTAATTTGCAATCTGTTTTATGAGAACAATAGTCAAACATGTTGAGACATTTCTAATGACAATGCAAAGAAACTGTTTGCTCACAGTGGTTCGTGGACATTTCTTAGTGCCAAATAGCTTACCCTATAAATATAGCTGCAGCCAGAGCCGAAGCTAGAGAATTTTGGTATAGCATAGCACCCTTCCTAAAAAGAATTAAAAATGCGAAAATTGTATCAAGAAACTATACGAGTTATTATATTTCAACAAATATAAAAAATTACAACGTTTAAACTAGAAACAATTTGGGGACAATATTTTAAATAATGATTTTAATAAAAATATTTAGTGAACCAATAATACAGTTTGCACTGTGTGCTTAAAACACTAAAAAATTTCTGTGTTTAGTTATTGTTTAATAAGATCACTCGTTAAATACATGAAATAATAAATGGGAATTTCACTAGAATCTATTTGATTCATTTCATAGAGTCCTACCTTATAAATAATGACTGTAATGAACTATTTAAGGTAAAAAATTAATTGAAAATTTTATGAAAAATCAGGCTACTGTACTGCGACTTACAAAATTACTATAACAATTTCCTCTAGCTCCAATTTCTTTTTCAATTTTTTTATTATTTTTCCCCATTCTCGGACCCCTTGGCTTACGGGGCCCCGGGCGACAGCACGGTCTGACCATGCCTACCGCCAGCACTGGCAATAGCACACACAAAACAAAACGAATTAAATACAATAATATTAAGACAAGGCACACGCACAACATAACGTTTTTACCAATTTGCATTTGTACATTTTCATGAACGTAATTACGCAAGGAACAGTAACGAAAAGAGAGACTCAGTGATCCCACGCGAAGTCGCATCTCCTCTGCGACGGAATTCCTGGGAAACGAGCCCGTACAAATCTGAGGACGGAGCACAGAATAAATTAAAAGAGGCCTTTGACACCATTGTAGTGGATTATTTGCAGGTAATAAACAGGGTAGATAAACAGGTAATGAGATTTATCTCATTCATAATAAAAATTTTGGTACTTTTTCTCAGTATACATGCTACTCATTGTACCATTCACATAACCGCGATAAAAATTATTGTGCAAGATTTTAGCCATATCTTAATATAGAAACATCTTTACTTCACTTGTGTCAGTTTTCTCGTAATTTAGCACTGTTTTCAGCGAAATATTACGTAATATTTGCGGAGACACCTCTTATCCAAGTGCATTAGGTGAGATTCGCCTTGACACCCCCCCCCCCTAAAGGCCCCACGTAATTCATGGATGTCCCCTTAGAACGATCCTCATTCAAACATAGGATGAAAGTATCGATTCGTCGCTTTACTAACCGCTTGCTCCAGATTCATCTGCCGGTGGAAGGCGTGTTCACGAGTTGGCGCAACCGCCTGCAGCAACAGCAGCCTCGCCTCTGATAAGAATGCGGCTCAGATTTCCAGCAGACACCCGTAGTGGCGGCTGGTGCCCCAACGAACTGGAGGTTGCAACCCATCGAATGACAGAAATGTAATGTCCAAAATTCAGAACACTAATACATAATAAAATGTAAGCACTTCACGTAAATTAATTAAAATTAAGTTGAATAAAAGTCTACATTGAAACATTACTTATATACTTTTATGCGTAGTATCCATGTGGTTCCGGCTTCGATGAATAAGGGCACTTAACTTTTTGTATTAGTTATGCATTGGGACCTTTACCTGTAGTAGAATTTATATAAAACAAAAACAAACGTTGTTTCGAAAATACGGTGATGGTACTTCAGCACTTTGTAGCAAGCACAATTGTTTGAACAGGTTGTACACAAAATTATTTTATTTAGAAAATTTTACTACCCTTGTATACATTATTATAATTAGGGAGCGGATTTCTTTGATTTTGCATATTTTTGTTCGTTGCTTGAGGGTAGAGGTAAAATTTCTTGACATTTGTTTAAGTTTGGATGCTATGTATAGTATCATGGTATTGCAATATTATGCATATTTGGCCGATTGTGCCTGTTCTAGGGAGAGGTTTACAACGTAATCCTTCGCTCCGATCTTCCAATCGTCAGTTTTGAAAGGTAAAGGAAGTTACCGAAGATAGGGTAATTTTGAAATTTCGAAAAATAGGGTCCACTGCAGAAGAGAATTTCATGAGTTGATGATACAATAGAAACTTTGTTTTAGTGTCACTGTGAATTCAGGAAACATTCCACTAACCAAAAACACGAAAGAGAAATAAAATGCATAAAAATGACACATGTTAAAAAAAATGAAAAATGGTAAAAATATGACAAAAAAAGACCCAACAACTATACATTTCTATCACCTATATGTCATGATAAACATTCTTTTACAACGTAGCTACGCCTAGAAGGCACCAATGAAAAGATGACATATCATCAGCATCCGAGCCCTGATCATAAGAGTGCTTCGTATCTGTTTACCAATGTAAAAGGCATATGTGTAAGACTTTTTGTAATAAATGTGAGTATTGTATTGTAAAACAGTGGTACTCTACCTTTTATATTTGTAACCTGTACTATACACAATAATGGTGATTTTTCTTGTTGAAACTTTCCTTAGAGTTACTGTTTATTTTAGTCTTTTCAATTAAAATAATATTTTCTTCCACCCCGGGTGGCAGACACCCACGCTAAGCCACTGACACGGAAATCCTGTCCCTTGATCTCTACTCCGAACACACGAGAGATATTGGTTGTCGCGAATATGTAGCTTCGCGTAGACACCACTATAGCGGTTGAGAGCGTTGGCGTCCGCGGCCGGAGTTAGTATTTAATTGGTTGTCCGGGCGACGCCGCGTCCATGGCAAAGGTGCCGACGTTGCGGTCGCCATTCTGTGACCTTCCTTACGCATTACGCCCAGAGGAAGGTCAGTCACCCGGACAGCCAATTAAATACAATAGCGGTTGTTTGCAGGTCATTGAGGTCCTACGTTAGTACGATGCTCTCAAAGATAAAAATGAACTCTTAAAAATTAATCCAGTAAGAAAGGAATACTTGTTTTTAAAATTGATTTAATAATTTCAAATAGTGTAAATTTATTTTGTTTGTAAATGTCCTACAAATTACTGTGTTTTGATATTACGTAATATATCTTGTTTTACATGTATTATTTTATTTATTTTAATCAAATATATCAAAAAGAGTTAAAAATTGCTTGTGACTTGCTACGGGAAGTGTATTCTGTGCACGTTTTCTTAATTCTGGGACCCCTACTCTAAGCCAAATGCACGTTGAGTTCTGAATACAGAAAGAAAAGAGTGTTTTTGGCAAGAATTGTTAACAAAATATTCGCTCCGATGTTTTAAAATCAATTTTCAATAAAAAATCGATTAGAGATTTGGGTTCTTGTTCCTCATCAAATCTTTATAAGGAATATACTTCATGTGACGACAACATGGAAAATAATAACTTGAATAACTATATTTCCCATTGAACTCTAGAACAGGGGTTTTCAAACTGTGCGTCGCGGCTCCCAGGGGCGTCGCGGTTATTATTAAAACTGATCTTTACATTTGATTTACTTTAATCTTCACATCATTTATGTCAACAAAAAAATGTTGTACTATCATAGTATATGTTATTTGTAACGTATATCACTTACTCCCTAGTGTTGAATCTTTAGTGTCCCTGCATTAACCCTTATAATTGAAACTTGTTACCAGGGGAGTCGCTGGAAATTTTATTCAGGTCAAACGAGACGAAAAAAGTTTGATAACCCCTTCTCTAGAAGATGTGCACAGATAATGAAGTTACATTTACGTCCAGAAGCAAAACAAGGGACTATCTCAGCATTTGCTCAGAGGATCAGGAAAACAGGACGTAAAAGCTGATCGAGATGGGGATCATTGACCCAGAAGCTGAAATACAATACTTGTTACACGTTGTTTAGAATTAGAACAGGTTGTTTAGAATACATATTTCTTACAATATTTTATATTTTTTCTTACTTATTAATGTACGTATTTTGCCTGTTCAAATTACATATTTTTCCGTACTCTACTTTCAATTTTGACTCTGAATGCACGCACAGGTCCGCGGCAACAATCAGGGAGTGCCATCTCCCCCTTCCCCCTTCCGCCCGCATCCGGAGGAGCCTTCGAGCGCCGGCCGACCGCAGCGCCGCCAAGCGGTCGATGGGCGCACCGGCGGCGGCGAGGCCGAGGCGGCGGCTGAGGTGGGGAAGGGGGCTCCACCTCGCGATGGAAGGACGTCCTGCTGGCCTGCCAGTCCCGGTTGCGACCGCCTCGCCGAGGGCTCGCGTCGCGGCGACACCAGCGGGCACCAGCCAGCACCAACCACCGCGCCGACACCGCCCGCCAGCGGCCACCGCACGGCATTTCTCGGTGGGTGTTTGTTGCCTCATGCTTTCGCACCGCACTGTTTTGTTTTGTTTTACAGTCGTTTCGCAACCAGCTTCACCTGGGAGTGGGGTGTTTATGTTGGTTGCGTGCCGACTTTCCCCTGATGAATTCAAGGAATCGCATTGGTGATGTGGAGATCTGTTGTAGGCCGTATTCCGTTATCTGGATCTAGGTCTGTTAATGCGTAATGTTAATGTGTCACTAACGTGTAGTTTGTTTACATGTTCACCCGTCTTAGTCACTGTATGTCTAGATACGTTGCTTTTTAACTGTATGCTGTGGTAATGCTCGTGTCCTGAATGCAATCATCACAAACGAATTTTTTCAATACGAATTTAACCAAGGAAACTCCCACGTTCGGGTGTAGATTTTGTAATCCGTGTTGCGTCCGCCCTTAAAGTTTTCACGTCATCCAACAGCTCGAAAGTCATCTCGGAAATGTAGTGACGAAAATGCTGCTAGGTAAATATTACGAACTTATCTGTACTCCGTGGTGGAGTTTGCATATGGCGTTGTTGACACCATCTCGCTGTCAAGGCACCACGATTATTTACAACGTCACGACGAGACACCGAAAGGTGGTGATGTCTCCGCGTGTGTATTAGTGATGTTACATCGATAACAAAACGTCGATGATAGGAAAAATCGGTGATGGGAAACAATGATGTTTTTATACTAGATTAGTAACCTATAACATATCTCAATGTGCGAAATGAATATGAAGAAGTGGAAATTAAAGGGCTTGAAGGTCATCTCTAGCGAGAGAGTGGTCGATGAAAATAGTGCAAATATCATTCCTTTGGTGCAAATATCATTCCGTTGGTGCAAATATCATTCCTTTGGTTCCCACATATGAATGACAGTGTTACTATCGGTTATTCCGAGTTTTTTACTTTTATATTAATGTTATAACGGAATTTTTCCATTCAGAAACAATATATCGGAAAAGAAAATAAATCGTCCATCACAAAACATTGATGATAAATAAACATCGGTGTTAATACATCGAAGTTTTCAAAACATCGCCGTTGATGCCGCCTCTGCAGTGTGTGTCGTGAACCGAGTCGCCTGGCGGGGTAACGGTGCAGTGCGTCCGCCGCGTTGTTCAGCCGCGTGCTCCGTGCCAAAGCGTGTCCGCGTAGCGGTGAAAGTGCGTGCTACAGAGCAGGTCACCTGCCGCCGCCGCCGCCGCCGCCACGGCCACCGCTGCACCTGTTCCCTGAGGAGCCTCGCGACAGGGCGGGCACCTCGCCTCGCGACCACGTGACGCACGCCAGCACGCATTTCGCAACCAATTGTTTGTAGGCACATCCTTTACAGTGGACGCCGCATTTTATCACCTCGGTTAATTATCGAAAACATTAAGCGATTGATGACACGAAACATTCTAATTAGAAGGTTATCAAAAGAAAGAAGTCGACTGTGGTTTTCTTCGTAGATTCCATTAATGCAAATTTCGAACTCATAATGTATGGAAATCAATTGACCTGAGTTGAACACCATATATTTCGCAATATTTCTAATGCCTTTCTCATTTCAGTCGTTGTTTGAGGTTGTCGCGTTTTTACATAATATCTAATATTATTATGCCGTCTTCTGTCAATCCAGCAGATGTAGTGATATTTTCATCCACAGCCAAGCGTTCTCGAATTTTTATTTCGGTGGTGTGTTTGGTGATGGTTTCGGTTGTATTCGATGGAGTGAGTAGGATTTCTTCACAGGAACTGTGAATAACAATTGCTTGTCTTCCGCGACAATTGTCCGGACAGTGGGCTCAGAATTTTGTGTGCATAATTGAAATGTGTATTAATATAATGAAACAAATAAAACGAATTCTGATGACAATAAACTACAGTTTTCTTTCTGTTAATATTAGACCGGGCGGGACATCTTAATAATTATCATATTAGCCGAATGATAACATTTACAATGATAACTAAGCTGCGTTTTCCCCCATTTTCGTATTTGGTTATTTTTTTCCTTTAAAGGAAAAATTTAACCAAATCCAAACCTTATTCATTTGGAGTTATTTAGGAACAATATAGGCGAATTTTGTGTGTACCTAAAAAGTCCTTTTTACTAGTAAATGCCTATTTTGTTTTTAAATACCTAAATGTTGCTTAATCTCGCATTTATTTATCGAAATGCAATTATCATTAATAAAAAATTTACAAAATTGTAGGTATTTTTGTTTTAACTTGCTGACTAACGTGAAATCGAACAACTCGATAAACCTACGTTCACTACAATATCTCTTGTGGTACTTGAGCTATTTTTACTTCGAATTTTTAAACATTTTTTTCTCTTCAACGTCTCCAATTTCTTTTTAAATTTTCTCGTATGTTTCAAAGAGAGGTATAAAAATTGGTGCCGGTCTCATTTTTTTGTGAACTCCCGATATTTTTGAAAATTGCAAAAAGTTAACATTTCAAAAGTAGAATAATGAATACATTGATTTTTGTCTTAAATGAAATCTGTTCTAAAAATTTGATCGTAAAAAAGGTAATGTATGTATTTTTTTAAAAAAAACTAGCTTTTTCGTAATCTCTGCATGAAATTAATGTGAATTATAAAAATAATTCTCAATAATCGCTTCAATTTTCATCAATTTTTTTCCTACGACTAGAGCAAAGGATGCTTAAAAGAATGGTTCATGTCTCATTTTCGTTCAACTCTGAATTTTTTAAAATTGCAAATTTGAAATATTTTTAGAAATATTGCGAGGAAATGTGCTGTTGTAGGACCACTAGTTACAACATTTATGTTACGCATGGTGATCGAAACAAATCATACAATGTTTTCAGTTATATTTAAATTAAAGGTACATTGATCGCCATGTCGATGTCCAATAAACCTCTTTAATTTTAACATAGCTCTCAGTTAGTTTCAATATTTGGCTCATTGTGGAACTCTGTTGGACATAATTTCACTCGTGGAATAGCCCTGTTAAATACCACTCGTTCTTTCGAAATTCTCGCATAAATCGCCTTCTCAATTTCCCGTGTCGTGGATTTATCAACAATTTCCATAGCACGTGTGGCATTACTTATGACAAATACCCGAGCGACTAAAATTGAAATCCGCTTTAAGCTCCCGCGATTTAATCGCGCGGGTTTCCACTAGTCAAGATAAACTTATTAACGAGCGCTGTTATCTGTTTCACGCTAATAGGCGGAACTTACAGTGTGTGAGTATAAAGGCGATAAAAAGACGTACCTAACAGAATTTTCCGGATTTCACAATCAAATGCGGCAAATGACGGCTCCATTATGAACGTGTGTTGTAATGTGTTTCACGTTGATACACCTAACAAAATACCTTCTACTTTCTATCTACTCAATCTTATCTCAGCAAATTAGGCGTTGCTTGAATGCTGGAAGTCCCCGACGACTGCACGTGTAACTTACATGTTTGTTTTTCCTATATCAATATTAATATTATAAAATTTGAAATGTCCGCATAAAGAACAATGTGGCGGAGACATAAGTAACCAGACCTGGCGGTACCATTGAAGGGAAGTCGCAGCGCAATTTTTTGTACGCAGAGTTAGATTGTGCAGTTCAGAACAACGTGTACTATTTAAGCACGACTGAGGTGCGCGAGTTATAACTTGACAGACGTCTCAGCCAAGTTTGCTTACGTATGAAAAGTTAACAAGAGGAAAACAAACTATGTTGTTTACAAAAATGTCACCACTAGAGCACGCCCCAAATCGCTACTAAACCAAATTTATCAACAACGTCGCCGATTATGCGCCCAACTTTTTGTTCTTTCTTTCTTTCTTTCTTTCTTTCTTTCTTTCTTTCTTTCTTTCTTTCTTTCTTTCTTTCTCTCTTTCTTTCTTTCTCTCTTTCTTATTTTTTAACTTTTTTTTAAAATTAAACGTTTGTCTACAATCTGTTCATACATACGAACAATAAGTTGTTGACGAGATATTTAGCATTTATTGAAGAATATATTCATTACTATCTTTCCATTAATACAATTGATTACACACTTCAAAACCTAAGATACAAATTTAAAGGATTGAATTCTGTTCGTATTTCCAAACTGTTATCTAACACATTTGTGACTTAAGTGTCTGTATTGCATTCTATTTTTTTGAATTCATTTACAACTATTTTCTTATTTTTTCAATAACCGTTGGCATATTAAAATCAAAGTTAATAACATCTTTTCGAACATACTAGGGGTCATTGGTAAGTTTCTAAATAATTTGGATTGAAATATTTGAATGATTTGAGTATTGGATTTGCTACTGGTGTCCCAAAGCTGTGTGTAATAAGTCCAAACAAGCTTTATGAATGATTTATTAATGAGTAATGTTTTAATTTTTTTATCACAGAACAAAATCCGTGCGTAGATATAATCTTCAATGTGAAAGTTTCAAACTCGCTTTCGGAATAAGTGGTGATGAATGACGAGTGAATATGTCTGTGGTAGAAGCCTTTTGTATCTGCGTTATTATACACTCTTTTTTATTCTTATCTCCTGTACGAATAGTCACAGTAAAGAAATTTCTCCGATCAAACAGGTTCTGACGAAAATTGCGTGCTTCGTCGAAAATTCGTCCGTGGAAAAACCGCAGCAAAACGGCCTCTTCTTGAAACGAATTAAAGCAAAACGGCCTCTTCTTAAAACGAATTAAAGCAAAACGGGCCGCGAAAACGAAGACGATGTCTTCAGCGATGAAACAAGTTCTTCAGAAGTGACGCCGGACAGGCACATTCTTTTCCGCAACCACGCAGTTAAAAGCACAGAACATTTTCTCATTTTTTTTCGTTCTTTTTTCTTAAAAACCACGTCGCACCAACGGAAAAGATGTTTTTCTTCACTAAACCACATGGAATGCACATAAACACCGGACTACTTGCATAAGGTCTTCAAACTACATGGAATAGATTGCGAAATAGAGGACAGTCGACATAAACCAATCTGTTAGAAATCTTGTAGGTAAGGGGTCGTCCATAAAGTACTTAACA